CCTAAGTGTTTTTCTGTTAGCGAAAAATGAAAGTAATTTCAACAACAGTTGCCGATAGTGAATGAAGAGTTGAAGTGACTAAGCGATTTAATATTCGTCCATCGAAAAATATGTAAATTTTACAAAAGATCATTTCTGGACTACCTCCAAGCAGAAAATAAAGCAGTTTGTGATTTTTTTTTTTTACAAGGTTGAAAAAGGACATGTACATATTTTAGTTTATATTTTTAATTTTTCATTAAACATGTGCGATTATTTGTTTTTGAACATATCTGTGAAAAGTGTGTTAAGTTTGTAAATTTTTATGGGTATTGCCAGAAAGCTAATTTTTCTCTCTTTTTTTTTTATTTCTAATGGGCTAAGTTATGTGGCAATATAGAGATGAACATTCATTTGTGATTCATGGGCTGAAACTCGAAAATACCAAAGTTTATCACAAATTATTTAAATTTTCGAAGGAGAGATATCAGTTTTATTTAAATGCTATATATCTGTGATAACTATGTCTAGTATTATGTGATAACTATGTAAGTGCAAAAATCACATTTATGGAAAAATGCAATTGAATGGTTGGAATTTTCACAAATTCCAAACATTCAATTGCATTTTTCCAAAAATATGATTTTTACACTTAGCAATGCGCTTAACACGTTCATTCGAAAATTTCGATAATTAGTGAAAAAGTTTGGGCTGTTGGCATAATGAATTATCGGGTTGTAGTATATTTTGGAAATGTGATTCGGCGTTGTTCTCCATAGCATTAAAATTTAATAGTGAAAATACGTGCACTCGTGTCCAAAAACAAATATGGGATTGGTTATAATAAAATATTATAATGAAATGGAGATTACTTTCACTGTCTTACAGTTTTTCAATTATGAATCGTTACGTTCAATTTGAAAGGAAGAGAAAAAAAAAATCGGTGAATTACAAATAGAGCCTCTACTAATTACTAGGAGGCAATTAAAGCATATTAAATTAAAGTGGACACTTGATGGTTGAATGCACCAGAGCAAGAGGCGAGGCAGGGAACAAGAGGGAGTGACGTAAGGGGCGAGTGGAGGGGGTAAGGTTACACCAGGTGAGAGCCAGCTGTGGATCAGCTGATGCGGCGTTGCCGCTACACCCTGACCCAGATAGCAACAGCCCGCTCCGCTTAGCAACAGGGTGTCCGTCTTCAGGGGGCTCCTATCAATCGATAGATAATGTACACCAGCCACTGCTACCAGTATCTATCCCAACCCCAACACATCCATCCGCCTTCTTATCTCAATCTTCTGATTTGATTATTATCGCAACCTATCATTTATAATAACATCGATTGATTTTAATTGATTCAATCTACGTCTCATTTCTGAGCAAGCTATTCCAAACCTAATTGAAGCAACTTTTTCAACAAAGTATTAAAACATCAATTACTCAAATATACGGAAATGTATGAACCGCTTCCATTACCGCACTCTAGGGAGTGTCTCGGATTTGGTTCTTCTTCCATCATCAAACATTCCTCTTTCTTTCATCATCAAAAAAATTTAATTGATAAATCTTAAAGAAAATTATCCCTGCCTCCCCATGCATGTGTCTTTTTTATTAAATTAATAACACCCGTCTAAATATTCATGAATGATCTTAATTTTATCGTAATATACATTTTTAATTACGAACATTCTCGGAAATGGAGAGTTTTCATTCTAGAGATCGATAAAATGTGTCCATTTCATAAGATACTCAAAACTAATGAACACCCATTTGCTTTCTTTTTGAATCGTACCGAATCCGATCACAAAATCAAAAAAAAAAGCTGGTCAATAAAAATATGGGCATCTACGAGTTTTATGAGTTTTAAATTAACTTAAACGTCCCATTTTGACAATTTTCTTAGATAAAAAAGTTATAGCTGAAGATAAGACGAAGCCATTTACGAAGTTAATAATCTGAAAAAAAAAAGTGTCTGTCCTCGGACTAATACAAGAAATAAAACTTTGATTAATGATGTCATCAAAAGTAAATAAACATATACAAGTACTCAAGAATAACTACTAAAATTAATAACCAGAAATACTTCAAGACATATGAAAAAGATAGATTGAATTTTCAGTTTGCTTAACAGCAATAAGTGCTGCTCAAGAACATTTTTTTTAGTAGCATATAAAATTAGGTCGATAGAGAATGTAAAAGGCCATTTAATCTTAAAAGCAATATTGAAATTTATCACTTTGATGTATATCTCTACTATGGAACAAAAATGAAACATTTCCAAAATTGCACAAATAATAAAGTTGGTGTTAGATATTCACTACTTGTTAAAAGGATCAACGTCCTTCCACTATTGAGATACTGAGACTAAATAATAATGGGAAGACATTGGCTCCTTTATTAAATTTAAATGTTTTGAACACTCCTTTTTCTTGTTACAAGATACAGATACAACTTTGACATTATAAAAAGAAATCATTGATTGCGAAAACAAAATATTTCATTTAAAGCTGTTTCTCATATACTATAAAATTAAAATAAAAAAAGAGCCCACTAACGCGATAGCACTGGCGTTATTGCTCAGTCGTTAACATGAAGGATTTTATTGTACATTATAGTCACTTCAACATTTTGGAATTTTATGGAGATTGTGTATAATATTATTTATCTAAAATACAGGTTCCTTTCATTCCGGACGCACGGTTCTTAGTAAAGGTAGTCTTTTAAATATAACAATCATCAACATCTTCCGCATTGCCCAATCAAAGAACAAAAAGGAACAAGGGATGGCATAAGGAAAGGACATAAGGTCAAGTTGCTTCCTGTTTTAGCACCTTTGATTTAAAAATTCGGATAGTAGAAGTGACCTTCAGCTCATAGAGGACATTTTAAAAATAAATTTTGCCTGGTGGTAAAAGGCTGGTTAATTCGACTTCAAGTGGTTTTTGAAGTGGTGTTTCTCTCAATTTTTTTACATTAATTATTCTACGAGTTATCTTCATATTTATTTACTTACTGAGATATTTTCAAGGTATCGAAAAAAAAATGTCATCAACGAATCAAAGCAGTCGAGAGTCGACTGTAAGTTCGAAAAACATGGAAGAAAAATAATCAGGACTTTCAGATTGACGTCAGTAATCGCACCACAGTAACCACATTGTTTTATGAATTACCAACATAATCAATCTGTCAATGTGAGCTTTTTACTGGCAATGAGAATGATATAAATTTGCACACACATATCGGCAGTGTTACGCAATATTTTACAGATATGTTTCTGAGTTTCTTATAATAACTATTTTTCATGTAATTTGATGTTCTTGTATTTATTCTATCATGTAGTATAATTATAACAGTTTAGTTTGCATCTGGTCTTTTCTGTTTAAAATAAAAACAAAAAAACACTGGCCCTCCGTCCACAACACAAACTATGTGTAGTTACCATGAAGAACATCCACACTAGATGATTGAGGAATTCTCCATGGTTGAACGTATGACGAATTCTAACCAGAACCTGTCGAAACTGTAACAAACCCGAACAATCTCTGTACTCATTAATTGCAATCAGTTTTACAAACACCGACATTTTCTCATCACTTCTTCAATAGCAGCTTTAAAAAAAAAATCCAATAAATACTTTTGGTTCATATGTTATTTTTATTGTAATTTTAAGGACTTGGAAACACGTAGCTTTTTGTATTTGAATGATAATATCGAATGATTTAATATTTAATTAGATTTAAATAATTTATTCCTAAGAATCAAGCCTATAATTAGTGTGTAGACATATTCCCAAATACAGTTTCTCGGTCTAGACACACAGAGATGTAACACTTGGAGTATAGGTCAACAACTTAACGGAGACTCTTCAGTGCGTAGCAACCTTTTGTTATTGAAATAATAACCAACTTGTGAAGTAGTGCAAGCGATTTAAAAAAATAAAAATTTAAATTAAAAAAATCAGGATTACAAATTTCAGATTTTCCGTGGCATCTAGCAATTTAATATCCGCCCACAAATGTCTCCCTGGAGAGTTCACCCATAGATAAGGACGTAAACCGAATAAACAATAGATAAATAAAATTTATGTTAATTATTTTATAAAGATTCGAAATAAATACTTATTTTTAAATAGTTGATAAGGCCCAACTAACAGATTGGTGATTGCGATCTAATAGAATATATATCTACATTTTCAACATAAATAAATAGATTAAAACAATGTTTACAAGTCACAACCAAAATGACAGTATTTTTTTAAAAACCAATATTTCTCAGGTATTTTTTTAAAAAAATACCTGAGAAATATTGGTTTAATTTTTTTTTTTTCAATATTCTATTTATAAGTCTATTTCTAGTTCATAACGAGAATGTTTATCAATTTAAGAGGTATTTTTTAATATCTTTAGCAATTTAATTAGTATATTTGTCGTTACTAAAATATCACTAAAGTACGCATTTGAAAGTTTAAAATATACTACGACGTAGATACAGTTCTGAATGCAAGTCATTCTTTGATAAGTTAAACTTTCTGTAGATGACATGAGCACTGTATTTTTAATCCCACAAGGTAATGTCAAATATAAAATAAATTTATGTGACTTTTACCACAATGAATGAGTAAATTTTATAAAACTTAAATTTGCTTGAATTTTTTTCTATGAAGTAATAACAGTAATTGATTATTTTTTATTAATATATTTTTATTAATACCAAGATAATATTTCTGTAATAAATAAATTATATGTTTCGAAATGTAATATTATATTTAATTAAGCTTTATTTATTGCTTATTTTTGTAAGAAATTAGTTAGATCGACATTAATTAATTAGACGCTAAGTTTTAAATGAATAAATCTGACATTTTATTATTTTTTTTTATGCTCTTCTCTCCCTACAAATGAAAAATACAATATTCTCTAGTATCTGGTTATATATTATTCCTGACGTCTAAAATTAGTAACGTAAATAATAATCTCTGTAACAGATTAACTGATAAAACTAGAAGATATGTTTTGACTCACCTGCTGTTCAACAAGGATGGTGTTAAAAGAGACATTTCGTCCAATTAAAAATCCATTACTTTCTTCGACAAGAAAGCCTGAAAAAAATAAAATATATATTAATTAATAAGGAAATAGGACTTGATGCAAAATTAACACTAGACATGTATATTGATAGGTTATAATGACATTATAATTACAAAAGCGTTTAATAATAATATCGCCACCATTATCCTAATATTTAAACAGAGAAGAAAATTACTGCCCAATCCATTAGTCAGAACGAATTGATTTAGAAGCAGTTGGGTGCAATAACTTGGGTGTGCAATAGCAGAGGTCAGGATATGAAATAGGACCGATTCAACGCATATTACTGCTGATAATGAAATCTTTAAAACGCTTCTAAAAAAATAAATAAATAAAATATAAATAGTGAGTAATTTTCATTTAAATTATCCTTACATAAGGTATTATAGAACCTTGCTTTATTTTGTAAAATTTATTGCGAAATTGCTAATTTCATATTGATTTTAATCTAAGATTATATATTATTGTCTGCCTTCCTACACCTTAACAATATAGTTTAGAACTATCAAAGAATTATTTCTATTTCTTCAAGACTAAACTGACGAAAAGTACCGTTTCAATAAATTTAAAACGTCGATTAACCGGAGGTCAATTTTGAGACAAAACGAACGTTTCTGAAAAACAAATGGGTCTACATTGCGTTTAGACATTTCACATAGCATCTAAATATAAATATCTAACTAATAGCCACATTAGCACTAAGCGCAACTTTATTTTATTTTATTGCTATTGTTAATGAAAGCAGATTGAAAATATCACAAACAAGAAACAAAAACAGAGAAAAATCCTTTAAATATTTGAGTTTGCCATAGTTTGTGAAATATCTAAACGCACATTTTAAAGCAAAAAATATTTACGTTTGCATAAACGAAAGTATTGGATGAATTTTGATAAAATTAATATGGAACAAGAAAAATCAGATTAACGCTAGTAGGTGATATTCCCGTCATATGATTTTCAGAAGAGACAGACATGGAACCAAATTTGTTTCTTCATGTCTTAAACATAAGACGATTTATTAAATGCGAGTCAAAACTTTCGATTCTGAAGATACCTTTTTTTATCCTGCCACATGAATACAATTATGTTTTCCCAACTTGGGCAGTGAGGAAGCAAAAATATAAGGAAAGAATGGTTTCATATCGAAGACGGACATCTATCATTTTCAGAAGATAAAGAAAAATCAATTTCAGTTTTATAGGAGCTGACATCCCAACCCATCGTAACACTGTCATTACCATGTATGCCGATGATACATGTGCCCTATCCGTTAATAATGACCCAACCATAGCATACCAAACCCTCCAATCACACATCACAAACTTTGAAAAATGGTGCCGAAACTAGAGGATTAAAATAAATTCTAATAAATCATATTAAATCACCTTTACCCTTCGCTATAAACCTATGACCTGTCCTACAGTATCCTTTTAATAATACTCCACTTATCCCTGTTGAACAAATCCGGTACCTTGGACTCCACTTGGACAAAAGTCTAACTTGGAATCCTCATACCAGACTGAAACGACTAGAAACCGCTCGACGTTTCCGACTACTGAAATACTTACTAAACAAACGCTCTAAGCCTCCAGTTAATTACAAAAGACTCATATACATGATTACAATAAGACCTATTTGGACTTACGGGAGGTGAGCTTTGAGGCTCCACTAAGCCATCGAATTCCTCTCGTATCCAATCCTTACAATCCAAAATCCTTCGGAAAATCCTCAATGCTCCTTACTTTGTCACTAATAAAATAATCCATAACGACCTTAATGTTCCATATGTTTCCTATTTGGCCCAATCCAGATACCTATCCTTCCATTATAAACTTCAGAATCATCCGAATCCTCTCGTCTCTAACCTTGCTTCCTCTTGATACCTGATAGCCCTCCGAGAGGTCTGAAAAAAAATGGTCTCAAGAACTCCTATTGTAAATACATTTTTTTTTTTAGATTGCTACCAGTGGGGAGTTTCTCAACAAGTGATTTCATGTTATTATTTTCTGTTATCAAGTTTACTAAATGTATTTTATTTATCATGATGTAGAGATGGTTGACCGTTGATATAATATGAGAAGGAGTTAGTCGAGGGTGCGGTCAAATAAATAAAAAAATAAAAATATATAAATTATTTTTATTTTTGCCGACGTTTCGACCCAATTTACAGGTCGTCTTCAGGGCTACAAAAGATACAAAAATGTTGAAGAAATAAAAATAAAATAAAAAGTAAATATAAGTATATATAAAATACGAAGAAGTTGTCAGATACAGAAATAAAAGATAAAGAAAATAAATACATGATAAGAAAATAGATAAAAGAAAATAAATACATGAATGTTAACGAATAAATAGATTGAAAATTGAATAACTATTGTTACAGTAAAGTTAAAATATGGATAAGATAACAAATATTAAATGTTATCTTATCCATATTTTAACTTTACTGTAACAATAGTTATTCAATTTTCAATCTATTTATTCGTTAACATTCATTTATTCGTTAACATTCATGTATTTATTTTCTTTTATCTATTTTCTTATCATGTATTTATTTTCTTTATCTTTTATTTCTGTATCTGACAACTTCTTCGTATTTTATATATACTTATATTTATTTTTTATTTTATTTTTATTTCTTCAACATGTTTGTATCTTTTGTAGCCCTGAAGACGACCTGCAAAGTGAGTCGAAACGTTGGCAAAAATAAAAATAATTTATATATTTTTATTTTTTCATTTATTTGACAGCACCCTCGACTAACTCCTTCTCATATTTTATTTATCAATACAGTAAATATTATAAATAAAAAAAAAAGTTTTATAGGTTCAACTCAAACTATTTCTGATGATTTTATTTTAGAATGTTGAAGTTGTATCATGAAAAAAAAAGACAATAATAGCATTGGTTTAAATTGAAGCTATATTACAAAAAGTGACTTTCTCTCTTTTTAAAAATGACACATGTCCGTCTTTGATATGAGGTCATTCATATAGCTATTTTGAAATATATTATGAAAATATGTAGAATATACCCAATATAAATAATCCCATCTGGTCCTGCTTTCGGTGTTATCGGCATTGAACCTTCAGGTTTGTTAAATCTTATTTTAACCATCATGATACAAATCCATTCGTTTACTCAACTGCATTTAATTATTTATAGTAATTTCATTGCAAATATTGTTATTATCCAGCTTAAAAAACGTAAGATTAATTGAACCCACAGTAATCATGTGATGTAAGTTATTTCACTTCCAACATTACCACTTCGAATTCATGGTATTGAAGCAAGAATAACTTGATTTCCGATTCATAATTTTTAGTTTAAGAGCTTTATGAAATTAACATAAGAACCGCATAACTTCACCATTAGGATTAGAACAAACAAGCAAGGGCAAGGTTAATCTTTTCTTCTACCTCAAAGTATGCATTCATTAAACATGGCTTCGAAAACAAGATACTTTCGAATGGTAAATACATAAATGAATTCATATAATTTTTAACTTATTTGTCGAAGCCAAATATATGTTTCTATATAAATATTGTTGTATTACTGCAAATAAATAAGCTGATGGATAGATTGAATAAAAATGTTCGAAAAACATTTTTAATCCGATAGGCACGTCCAGTATACCATTCCGCTTAACAACCTACCCGGAGCTAAAGTTACACTGAACATAATGAGATTAGTTATTTCTTAAAACTTGGTAAATAACTTTAAAAAACATTGAAGTTAACTAGTTATAAAAATTAGTTAATTTTCATCAAACTGTTTTAATCATCGAAGTAGTAAATTCTTCGATATCCAGACTTGGCCAGTATTTGAGTAAAATGCTTATTAATCAAGAGTATTTTTTTTTCCATATCAAATTTTATGTTAAGATGTCATATTATTTCTTATAAGTATTTCGTATGTAAATTAATAATGTAGTTTTAACTATCACCATTAATTATTAAGTCGGTAGAGTATTTATACCAAGATTTTGGATTTGGTAATTTTTAATTTGATTTCACCATTTTAAAACAATATAACCTCAAAAAATTAATTCATGATAAAAAATGAATTTCATAAATATTTAGATATGAAGTACGTGTAATTTTAAAATATATTTATAAAAGATGATCTTGGGAAAGATACTATAATAAGTTTGAGTAGAAAAATACCTTTCTAGTCTCGCAAATTAAATACTTTATTTTAAATGTATTCAAATTTTTGCCTCTTCAGGGAAAACCTGATTTTACACATAGTTTAAATTTTCATTCGCTTATAACAGTGCACCCATTTGAACACCTAGTCATAGATCACAACCGAATAAGATATATATAAAATATAGTTAACCATTTACTTAAAATCAAAACTCAAATGATAAAAATGATTACAAAAGCAATTTTTTTCTCTCCCATTTTCAAAATTTTTATTTATCAAGATACAAAGATAAAATACTGATGTAAAAAGATATTATAATTCTTATAACCATACAACTCACAATGTGGAGTTTAGATCTGTTTTGGTTTATTGTCACGGCTCCTTTTCGTTTTTTTATCAAAACTGAAAAAAGATTTTAATAGATCTTGGAGATGTTTATGCAATCCCCATCCCGATCGTACGTGAGCCATGTCAACAACCCCGATGAAAGACGTTAACCGGAGTAACCACGTTCCGAACATGCATTACTTCTAATGAGATGATAGTTTACAAACAGCAATAATTTACAACTCGAATATAAGTGGCCTTCGATATTGATGGAATATAGTTTGCTTATATAAATAAATTAGTGTCTTCTCCATTCCCTAGTTAGGAGTTTTCAAACCTGTATTTTGTTCCAGGTCTCCATAAAATGAAAAGCTTTTCAAGTTTTTGAAGTTACAACTTTTTCAGGCGCGTTTTGTAATTTTCTTGTAGAGAGACTAAATTACATTGATTCGTCAGATCTCCGAAGTGTAAAGCTCGGGGAAAATTGGCTACAGTCGACTAATTAAAATATTTTTGCATATGGATTAAAATATCT